GAACCGCTAAGCCGACAGGAAACGAACCGGCAGATAGCCCACGAGCAGCGACGCCATTGCACCCGGAGATAAAACAGTGATAGGGAGATCGATGAAGGCGATAGTTGAAGTTATTACCGGATAGAGGAAGCGGCCGTGACAAAGACGGAGACCGGACGAAAAAGAGAAACAGAAACTGTTAGTCCGGGCCCTTGCGTACGCTTACGGGGATGTAGGGGGGAGGGGAGGGATGGAAGGAGACGTAGAAACGCGAAACTCGAAGGACGAAGAGCGCGTACAATGGGTAACATCGCGAGGAAGGACGAAGAGGAAAGAAAGCGCCGCTTTTGATGAAGAGAAGAAGGAAAAAGAGAGAGAGAGAGAGAGAGAGGGAGGCAGAATAAGTGAGGACACAATAGAAGAAAGAAAGATAGATAGAGACGAACGCGGATGTGGAAATAGGGGCGAGAAGGAGGAAGGAAGAGAGAGAGGGGTGTGGAGAAGGGGTGTAGAGGAGTGCACGAAGACCGATAAGCAGAAACGGTTATCAAGAAATGGAAATGACTGATAAAAGTCTGGCAGCGAGTTGTCGTTGGAACGTTTTTAATATTACATTAAGTCGGGATTATACTTTGTATATTATGTATATATATATATATATATATATAGGAACGCGACGATTTGTGTCGTGTTATGACGCATCGTCGCGGGGCACGCGAAATTTCACGGTCTCGTTACGACCGACCCGGAACGATTTAATTAACGATCGACTGGTAAAACGGAAGGGATAGGCGGAGAGATCGGGCGAGAATGATTTTAATCGGGCGATGATCAAGCATGGAGAAAGGACAAAAACGTTAAGGATCGATGAGATGTTCGATCGTGCGTGATAATAAGTGTCGAGTGTGTAATCGTTTGGATTTGAATATTTTTCGGTGAATCAGCAGTTTTGGATTATTAATTCGTGCTCATCGTGTTAAGCACACGGGATACTTTCTTATGTAAAAATGACATTAAATGATAATAACGAGAGATATTAGATTAGATTTAACGAGTTGTCATCGAGGGGAGACGTGAGTCGTCGTCTTTTGTCTTTAAAGCGTTGATAACGGTTGACGATTTGTCTTCTGGTATATTTCTATTCAGTAATGAAGAGATAGTCAAACATGGAGCATCGGTTGAATATGGAAATTTTTGCAGATGTAACGAGTGATAATAAAATAACAATAGTTGTGACGGCGATAGTGATAATTCTTTTCCCTAATGAAAAATTATATAACAAGAAGAAAAATTGTTTTCGATAATGTGTGAGAATTAAGGCATCATCAATGATGACTTAATATCTTAGGTAATATTATTTTATTATTTATTATTTATATATATTTATTCATAATTCTCTCGTTTTTTGCAGATCAATAATATATACTTTATTAAAGTCATATTAATTCTGTATAAAAATTCATTAGAGTACGTTGAATTCACATTTCAATTTCAATAATAATCTGTTTTCTATCGAAATAGAATGTCTAACAAATGTATTCCTGGAAAAGGTGAACACACCTACAATGAATTCTAAAATATATTTCACTTCACTTTACGCCTGAAATTGCACAATTCCTTCCATAGCATCGTCGTATATTGGCACATACGTTCGAAATTCTTGCGCAATGACAGTTTGCAGATTTTCCGCTCGCTACGCGCGTAGGTGTCGATTGCATTCGCGAAATGTTGAGTAGACATCGCAAAGGAACGCTTCGATCATCGACGAACTTGGTTTTATCGTTGAATTTTTGTCGGTGTGTTTCTCGTTGCAAATAAGTTTCGCGCCACTGCCGCCATTTGCATAATGGCGTCCGCGCAAAATCAGTGTGACGACACCGCTGCCGTATGCAAATCTTAATACCCGTTTAACGTCTGAATTATGGCCGATTAAATGGCAGATCGACCCAGATCCTCGCGAAAAAAGTTCAATTCGGTCCTCTCGTCGATGGATATTGCGAAACTTGTATCGCCGAATTCTGTTGGAGTTTGCCTCGGAATGGACTCATTTGGATAGTTTGGTTAGGTTCATCGTATTGAGAAATGGACGATTCACGGAACGAATTGTGGACATCGAACGATATGACTTCATAAAGGTAGCTCAAAATGAATTTTATGAAGATATTTAAACCTTTCGCATAGAGATTTCGTTAGAATTCGGGTAATACGAAGTTCATCGAATCCAGAGAAGAATGATTATGTGCTATATCATGTAACGTTGTACATTTAAGACATTCCAGAATTAGAATTTTGAGGTTAATCCTTGATTTATGGTTAGTATTTGATTTATATTTAATTATATTTTATAATTAGAGAAGTGGATGATTCTTATAAATAGAATATTAAGAAATTTTAGAACGATTAGGATATTGAGGTTAGTTTCTATATTTGGTTATGTTTTAGAAAATATCATGTGTAATATAATGAAATTTCTAATATTCAAAGATTTAGTATTTGAATTTTTTACAAATGTAATTCTTTCTACAATCTGTCATATATTTCTATTATTACGTTTTTTCTCTGTTACTTTAGTACAAAGAAAAATATATCTTTTGTTATATTACAATAAACGAAGTTGGACAATCGTTCTATGCAAACTAGTGACTACACAACTATTAGATGCCGTTATTACATAATGTTGAATATTTTAACGTAGACTTCATTTGTATCAAACTACGTATATTTCAACGAAGTTTTTTTCATTTGAAGATTCCAAGATTCTTAATTGTATGGATTTATCGTGAGTATCTTTTCAGAAATGCAATAATTTATACTTTTATGTGAAATCGACAAAATTTTACAGGATTTGTATTATCTATAACGCAGTTGGTTTTACGAATGTACAAACTCTTCATCACGATTGCGATAAAACGCATCATATGCGTATCGCGATGTGTTTTTTCGGATCGTTCAGCAATAATTCGTGGGCATCATATTATTCCACCGTTTGCAGTTCAGCTTTGATATCGGATCGCATCGGTGCTTGCGTGTCATCGGTTCTGATTCAAATATATTTTTATGAAATTGAGTAACGAGCCGAGTAAACCGAAGTTGAATTTTTTATTTCGAATAAAATATGTAACACCGTTTTGGCTTTTCGTCCTATCGTATAAATCGGCTAAATAATCTATCATCGAATGTCACTATCGCAAAATTATCGTTCAACATTTTATCAAACTTCCATTTTAAAAGATAGTAAAACAGTGGAGAGGGACATCGATCGATGTGTTTTAGGTAGCAAGAAATTTTATTCAATCATTACATAGACAAAGAAACTTGTTTACGATCGAACTGGTCTGTCGACAGATTTACCAAGTCATCGTGTGGCTCTCTCTGAACACGAGCCTCGAGTCCAACTGTTTTGACACTCGTTCGTCTCGTAGCCGGCCTCTGCTCCTCTCGTCGGCCTTTCTTCTTCTCCGGCCTCCGAATTCCATGCCGAGTTATATCAGAATATCTATGGACTCGTCTGGACCACTTTTCGCTTAATCGTCTTCTACTCTTCGTCTGGTACCGCCGCTACCTAGCGAACATCTGTCCGTAATGCCATGTTGCTCTTTTAACTGAATATCGTTGTTTGGACGTTTAGAAGATAGTAATGATTAAATAGATAAAAACTTGGAAAATACAATATTAATATTCAGGTACTTTTCATTTCAGATGATATTTTTTTTTATTTATATTATTCAACTTTTTATTTTCGAGGTTAGGAAATTTTTGAATTTCTTATTACTCGCATTTTAAGGTTATAATTATATATATTATGAAAAAATTGAAATTAAAAGTCGAAGATTTTAAATGGTATAAATGTTACGATGAAAAAGATACAAGGATCTCTTATTTGATGTAAATTTTTATATATGGAATATAATTAAATGTGATCAAATATAATTAAATGCGATCTCTGATATATCGTTGAAACGAATCATTCACTGATCTGAGAAAAATAATTTTATCGTAAATATTTATATCAGTCCATTCTTAATTTTTATTTTATTAAATTTATTATATTTTTTCGTTTCGTTATTGTTTTTAAGATTCAATGTCTATCGCAGTTTAATATATTGTTATATATCGTTTTAGCGATTGGAAACAGTTAAAAGGAATTTCGAAGTTTAAGGATAATCTAGAAGAGAATCTTCCTACACCAAAAGCGATACGACAAGTCGGAGGATGTTCCGCGATTGCAGTGACGCACGCAAACGTACAAAGGTCGCCTCGTAAATAGTTTAATCTCCGAGCGATCAAGCTGGCGTCTGATTAAAACTGTCTCGCCTCTGTTAATCATTATCTCTCCCGTTCGAAAGTACAAAGATGCGTTTTGTCTTCGACGTGAATTTTTGTATTCCTTTAAAAATTTAACGAGCCTGGAACAGTTCGTCCAGTGTTCCATTTTGTGTATCGCTATCCAATCACGATTATCCAGAAGAAAAAACTCATTATGCTAATCATCAAAAGACGAGAGAAGAATGTTATTACATAATTATCAAAATTGATAATTTCAAACTTTTGGAAAAAATATTCCAAAATTTCAAGACTCCGCTTGCATAATTTACTCGATTCAACATTTATTGTATCCAGTTCTTCAAAGTTGTGTCCACGCTTTTTCGAAAAATATTTCAGCACTATAATATATATAATAGGTACATTATTCAACTCATTCATTTATTTTACTTCTCAATATTTCTTTTTTATTTTCTGTTCTCTTATATTTTATGATTCATAAATTCATAACTTCTTTTTATAGAATATTCCATTCTATAATTATTTGTATAAGATATCTTATATACAAAACAAGATAAAAATAAAAGAAAAAAGAAATAAGAGAAAACGAGTGCTACACAGTAGAAAATGAGCGAGGTCCCAAGGTGTCGATGGGCGGGATCGAGGTTACCGAGATGACCCAACAAATGTCCATACGAGGAGAACGGACACAGGCGGAGGTGCAGCGGCGTGTACATAGTGGAAGGCGAGGCAGGCGCGCAGTAGTCATTCCCGTGGCACGTCGTGACGAGTCTCGCGGAGTCTCTCAGACTGCTATCTTTCTGACATTGAGGTGCCGGTATCTGTGCCACCAAGTCTCAGCGTACAACCTGCTGCGACCGAGATATGCCTCTCCCGACCGGCACAACTTTGCGCCGTTTTGACGTGCGCCAGATAACTGACGTCCCCTCTCTTTCTCTCTTCCTCTTCTTCTTCTTACTTGCCCTCTGACACGGTCGAAAGCGTGGCCCTGGAAGTGTATCTCTAGAACCGGAATCGCTCTTTCAAACTTGAGCTATAAGAATATTGCAAAGATTCTCTATTTTTCTTTTATCTGCCCGGGTGATATAACTTTTTAGAACGATTAGGATAAAGTAGATATAGTCTCTAGTTGAGTTTTTCCTGAAAAGATCAGGATAGAATTTAATATTCTTCAATTCTCCAATAAGTTAACTTTTAACTCTATCCATCATGACTCGCATCTTTCACCAATTTTATTATCACCTTCATCTTCCCAATCTCAAATCCTCAACCTCACGATACGAATTTGCCACCAAATCCAACTCCATCCTCGCTTAACAAACCCTCCCCGATCATCAGCCTCCGATTCATCAACATCGCCGTTATCCAACGATTTTCTGGAGTTCGCGTGGGGCCAGCCTCGTCGGGGCAAAGAAGCCAGAGTGCGCGCAGGTATAAAGCGATGCGCTAGCAGTCGTTTGACGACGTCTATGAATAATTCATGGACGGCGTTTCCTCATACAGCTCGAATGCTCTTCTGAGAACGTGGCAGGACACAGGAAAGCGTCGATAACGATCTCTCCCTAGCTCTCCTCCCTCCCTCTCTCTCTTTCTCTCTCACACACATTCTCATTCTCTCCCACCCGTTTCTACGGGTCTCTCTTATAAAGATCCCCGTCCTCGTCACACGTGGTACGTTCATCTCCCTTCTATCCACGTGACTCATGGTATCGAGCACGGCGGATGGCTCGTCACGATGCGTCAGTGCGTCAGATAAAGTCACCGTACGGTCCGCCGTATCCTCGTCATTCTCATTGTGTCAGGCCTCGCGCGGTGACACGTTCGGTGTGTGTCCTACATCGGGTGCTCAATTCTTTTTCCTCCTCTTCTCTCGCCGTGCCTCCATGGACTCTCTCTCTCTCTCTCTCTCTCTTTTTCTCAGCCAGAGATTCCGAAAATCGACCGGTCGATTTGCTCGCACGTTCTGCCTCTCGTCCAGATATCGCTCCACGATCTACACGCTCTTCGAGCTTTTCGGTCGATGCTCTCTCTCTCTCTCTCTCTCTCTTTCTCTCTGTTTTTCCCTTTTTTGTTTCTGCTCGTTGAAAGGATTATAAAGCTCGCTATTCCCGATGGGACATGGCGGGACTGTGGTGTGGTCAAACGATGATCGTTTTTTGATACTTTCTTTTTCCCTTTCTTTTTTTCTTCTGATCTTCTTTCTTTCGAACCGTTTTCGATTCGTGGACCGTTAAAACTGTTCAATGCAAACGTTGTACGTTTGGAATTTAAATTAGAATAATTGTCAAGTGTTATTATTGTATAGGATATATAGGGTGACATAAGAATATAAAAATATGAAATTGGACTATTTCGAATTTCATATCGTGAAGGATGATGTCACATTGTCAGTCGAGTACGCGTGAATGATGCTCGATCGAAAATTATTCCCAATACCTAAGCGTTCCACGATTTCTTAAACGCGATAAGCAAAATTATTCGCGTTTTCGAATCCTTCGAACGATAAAGTGAAATAAGAAGGATAAGAATCGAGTCGATTTACGGTCTCAATAGCCATGGATTTCCACGAATTTATTGAAAAGTTCTTTGTTAGGCATCGGCATCTTTCGGCTGGCGATCGGCAGAACGCGAGCGGTGTGTTATCCGTAAAATCGTATATACATACGCGATAGGCAAAGTACGTGCCGCGATTATCTCGCCGTTTCGATCGCGTATACTGGGGCTGCGTGCCTCGTGTGCGTGTGCGTGGGTTCACGAGGGACACGCGTGTGCTCCGTCCGCTCCTCTTTTTTCCTCTTCCTGCTCTCGCGTGTATTACACTCGCGCGTTTCTGCGCGCACCGTACC